CCAATTATTATATATTGCTTAACTCCCCTCCCTAATTATTAGACCAGTGTCCAGTCCCAATAGCAACATAAGAATGCTTGTCAGTCCACTTGTTTACCAGTCCACTTGTTCTTTGGGGGGGGAAGTCATTGAGACAGGGTCTCTCTGTAGCCCCACCTGGCCTGGAACTCACTATGTAGACCAAATTGGCCTGGAAGTCACAGAGATCCCCCTGCCTCTGCCTGGGATTAAAGGCGTGTGCCACCATGCCCGGCTGTCAGTGTGTTCTTGATTTATTTTTCTTTTTCAAGTTGATGGGTAAAAAAATAATATCTCAGTAGTTTATAGTTTGTTGTTTGGTTTTGCTTATTTTTTAGGTCTTTTTGTTTTTGTTTCCATGTATGGAAGACTACAAGGATTTATCTAATTATTTCACTTAGCATGTTATCTTCCAGTTCAGTACATTTTCCTGTATATAATGGCATCTCATTCTTCATAGATGAATACTGTTGTTTACATTTCTTATTTCTTATCCATGCATCTATATTGACTGGCGCCAAGGCAGACTCCATATCTTAGCTCTTGTGAATAGAGTCATATTAAACAGGTGTGCACGTACCTCTTGTGTGCTGGCATTATTTCTTGCCATATACCCAGGGATGGGATCTCTGGGTTACCTGGTAATTCTATTTTCAGGTTTGGAGGAACCTCCATACTGTGTTCTGCACTGGCTGTAACTTACATCCCTACTAACAATGTATAGAGCTCCTTGTGCTCTAGATCCTCACTAGCATTTTGTAAATAATATGCATAATGATAGAATGTGTGAACTGCAGAAGAGCCACAAGCCTCATTAGGGAAAGCCATAAATCCCTTAAAGTATCTAACTGGCCCTAAATTGGCAGCCTGGCCTTGCTCAAGCCTTATCAACTGGTCACTCCCTGGACTGAGAGAGATACTGTTTGTGGAGCCCACCTGTCTCCTTTAGTGCTATAGATGACTCACCCACCTACCTGAGCAAATAATCTTCAGAAAAGAGACCCTCAAGGACACTGGACACAGAGTTAAACTCTTGCAGCAGAGTCCCCATATAAGACCAGACTTCCTCCTTCAGATCAAAAATAATCATTCCTTGAGGAAGAGCTATCAGCCCTTTGCTGGATTTCCTGAATCAAGGGAACTCATTCCTTGCCTGTTGTAGGTCTGGCTCTGACTCTTATTTCTCAACTTTAAACTCCTTCCTTTTTCTGTCCTCCTAAATCTAATATTCTCTCTTAGGTGAGATGGAATGTCATTGTAGTTTGCATTTGCATTTGCTTGATAACTAAAGAAATTAGAATTTTCTCATTAACTTGCTGGCCATTGATATTCTTTGGTGTCTAGCAAGATTTTTATATTCTTTGAGGGCTGGAGAGATGGCTCAGTGGTTAAGAACACTGGTTGTTCTTGCAGAAGACCTGGGTTCGAATCCCAGCACCCACATGGCAGCTAACACTGTCCTAACTCCAGCTCCAGGGGACCCGACAGCCTCTTCTGTCCTCCTTGGGCATTGCATGACACGGGTGCACTTACCTACATGCAGGCAGTACATGCATACACATAAAATAAAAATAATAATTTTTGTTTTGGTCTTTTTGAGATAGAGTCTCCCTGTAGCCCCAGCTAACCTGGAACTCACTATGTAGACCAGACTGGCCTTGAGCTCACAGAGATCTGCTTGCCTCTGCCTCCCAAGTGCTGGGATCAAAGGCGTGCGCCATCATGCCCTGCATAAAATATTTTTTTTTAAGATTTTTATATTCTTTGAACTACTTGCTTTCTTAGTTTTTTTTTTTTTTCTTGAGTTCTTTTTTTATTTGTGTCTGTGTGCATGCATGTGTGAGTGCATGCATACATACACACACAGAGGCCAGCAGAGGCTGTCAGATACCTGGGAGTTGGAGTTAAGGCATTTGCTAGACACCCAGCTTGTACGTAGGTCCTGGGATCTGAACTCTACTCGTAATTGTGCAGCGATTACTCAACCTCTGAGTCATCTGTCTACTCCAAGTTTTCGTGTTCTTTATATGTTCTCTAGGATAGACTCCTTTGTCAGATGAATAGATGGAAAGAACCATCTTCTGTAGGTGGCCTCTTGACTCTGTTGTTCACTTTGCTGTACAGAACCTTTTATCTTGTGTTTTATTGTAGTTTTTGTTACATTTATTTGCCATAGTGCACATGTGACAGTCTGAAGACAATAGTTCTTTCCTTCCATCTTGTGGGTCCGGGGGATCAAACTTGAGTTGTCAGACTTGACAGCAAGCACCTTTATCTGCTGAGCCATCTTGCCAGAGCTCAGAACCTTTTAAATTGGATATAATTCCAATCAATTCTTACCTTGTTTCCTGTGCTTTGGGAGTCCTATCCAGGAAATCTTTGCCTATGCCAGTTTCCTGAAGTGTTTCCTTTATTAGTAGTTTTAACTATGCTTTAAGTCATGCATTAAAGTCTCATGTCTACTTTGAATCTCCTGCAGGTAAATATCCAGTTTTCCCATAATAGTTTCCTTGGTTACTTGAGGCCTTTTGTGCTCCCACATGAATTTTAGTGTGGGGGTGGGGGGGTGGGTTCGAGCCAGCGACCCCCGCGCAGTTAGCCAGCCCATGCCGCCCCCAGTACCAGGAACACTCAGGCGCAAGGGGGAGCCTAGTCAAGCCGGGACTCATTTATTGCAGGTGTTACAGAGCTTATGAAGGCACCTGGAAATCCCCCCCTACCCAGGGTGTAGCTTAAGGATGGTCACGTGCTGAACATGCACTCCTCAGCAGTGTGGAAGTATCCTTCAGACTTTTAAAACGAGTCAGGCCCCGCCCCAGTAATTCCTCAGACCTCTGCAAGGTGAGGCCTTTAGGTCCCCACATTTTAGGATTTTTTTTCTACTTCTGCAAAGAGTTATTATTGGTATTAAACTCGTTTTTATGTCTAGTAGTGTTTATTTTTATAAAATAAAGTGCTGGGCTGGGCATAGTGGTGTACACCCCCCACACTCAGGAAGCAGAGGAGACTGATCTCTGTGAGATCAAGGCCAACTGCCATTACAGGGAGACCCTGTCTTAAAAAGAGAAGAAAAAAATTAGGTGCTCTGACAGTTTTATCTTTCTTTTTTTTTTTTTGGTAAATTATCCCTCTTGATCCATATATAGTATATAGTATAGTAACTTCCTCTGTCTGGTGTATTGTCCTTAAATCTGTTTAGTTATCTGCTTCTGCTTGCTTTTGAATCCCATTTTCTTGGAATATTGCTTTCATCCTCCTTCTGTTTATGTCCTTAAAAATGAGATGAGTTTCGGCCCATGCATGGTGGCACACACCTTTAATCTCAGCACTGAGGAGGCAGAGGCAGGTGGATCGCTGAGTTCAAGGCCAGCCTGATCTACATAGGGAGTTCCAGGCCAGCTGGGGCTACTGGGAGACCCTGTCTCAA